TCTGTGTCGGTTGCCTCATTATTTCAGGTAAGTAATGATAGAAGGAAAACACACATGCATGATTGCTTATAATTTAAGACAACTCAAGCAAGGAATTTAGCACCACTGCTATAATATAGATGGTTAAGTTTACCCCGAAATTGTTCTCTTTTCAGCACGTTTTCTCCATATATAAACACAAGGATGTCTTTTTATGTCGTTCTGCCATACCTGAAAATGCAACCCTACAGGTTTGTTGAATTTTGGACCTCATTCTATACATCATAGGTCTCGCTGCATCTATCAATGTGTCCATATGTAGATAGTACTTCTTTGACTGACTAGACCATGCAATCTGAAGCAATGCTTGTAAAAAGTTACCGTTTGTGCATTCATTTTAACCTGGGTTAGGTTGGTTGGGCACTCCAACTGTTCGTTGTAAATAAATGCCTCATCTTCCTTACTGGAATTATTGAGTTGTCGTTCAGAAAAATCCAAAAAATGAAACTTTTACCAATATGTTACATAATGTGAAACCTCTACATACCTTCATTGCTTATAGATGGAGACCGTTAAGAACCTTCGAAGGAGAGATAAAGCTTTGGCTTTCTCAAAGATACAAATTAAGAATTTGTTAAGAATTCATGCACAAATTCCACCATCGATATTTTTGCAAATTACAATGAACTCTACCTCAGAGTAAAAGTAGCTACATTAGCATGAAATTGCAAAGAGAGTCTGTTATGAGTGAACTGCTCTTGGCCCCATATAAGAATCAGTTTTGTGACAGAACAGAAACATGCACACGCATACGGACACATAGAAATACCTACATACACAAATAAACTGAGTGCTTATCATAAGTCTTGATGATTCATTTCATATCCACTTAACTGACCCTTCAATGAGAGCACTACGGTATTCATGCATTAGTGAAGTCAGAGTCCACTTCTTAAGCAAATCTATGACTTTAACCATCCTTGGTACACCTATTCTTCCACCAAGCCATCATCGTACGTAATGGAAATAGTTGTTATAATTGGCATGTTTAGATCCAAATAGAGAAATTTAGAGAGC